CTCTTATACACATCTAGATGTGTATAAGAGACAGGTGTATGTGTGTGTGTGTGTGAGAGAGAGAGAGAGAGAGAGAGAGAGAGAGAGAGATGCACATCAAGTGACCACAGAAGTACCTTGGCTGTCGACCTTCTGCATTTCTGGGAAGAGGTTCACATACTTGACTATAAGGGAGATCCACACACACACACCACACACACAAGCTCTCTCTCTCTCTCTCTCTCTCTCTCTCTCTCTGATCTTACATCAGGTGCAGCAGCAGCACTCTAAGAAAAGATGGCATGCAGAGACAATTTGTCCTTCTGCTCCATCCCCCCCTTACGTTGGGTCCATGAAAACAAATTGTGACACACCCAGCCACTGCCAGCAGCAGCCCATTTCTTTCCTGTATTCCTCACTTTCTCCCTGCAATCATTTTGTTTTTTGTTGACGACTACCAGTAGTGCACATTATGGACCTTAGCAAAACTGAGAAAAAAAAACTTAATCCGGAAGAAAGGTCACATCACAAAACATGGTGGATCAGACTTCAAAGTTGGACGAGAGATCCATTCAGCATAAATTCTCTCACACCCCTTGGAACAAAATTTAGCAAAGGCTTCATAAAGTTTCATATTAACAAGAAAAGAATTTGAAAACTCAAAAGAATGACAAAGCAAACGCATCCACTTCCTATTTCCACAAATCGCTTTGCGCATGGGAGAGACCCACTTCCCCCACTCCAAGAAACGAATATGGAAGAGGAGGGGGGGAGGGGAGGGGAATCGGTCTTCATGCTTCAAGTTTGTGCCACCATCACCCCACTCCCCGTGCCCCCCCCCGCCCCCCCTTCTTCCTAGCTCTGCCGCAACCACCGAAAACATAAAAAAGAAAAGAGAACGACAACACTACTCTACAAGCAGGGTAAGCAGCAGCAGGAAAGCAGCGATCGGCTGCCTCTTTGGTGTTCACAATAACTCAACTAGGTTTCTCTACTAGTAGATGAAGTCTCCTCGCCGTCTCGTCCTCTCATCGCACGCAAAAGCGCCACTGATACCATGCTTGCACAAGAAGTTACCTTCCCCCACCAGACGATTCCAAAGGGGTCCAGCTTCTCCCCACCAGACGATTCCAAAGGGGTCCAGCTTCTCCCATACTCCCTGTAGGCTTGCACATGCGGAGTTGGCCAAATCCACATTATGCACCGAGTCTCCCAAACGCACATGCTCCGAGTCCACTGAGCGGCGAGCCCCCCCCACCAGCCCCCACTGTGACAGCTGTCATGCAAGCCTGTCATACAAAAAATACCACCTGCAAGGTTGTAGTGTTCAGATCCATTAGATGCGGCGAGCGTCGAAGCCCGCCCTCCATTAACCTGGCGGTCCTGGCCTTCATTTCATCGACTTTTTCAACAGACTTCGATAACATCAGATATGCAAGCATCGCGCTCAATTCATCTCCTGCCCTTGAGTGTGCGACGGACTTCCATCCATCCGTCCGTCCATCCATCCATCAGTCCGTCGATTTAGGGTCCTCCTCCTTCCTGTCTATCCTCCAAAAATATCTTACCCTCAACTCAAGACCCAAAAGTAGCTTATATCTTTTTCCGAAGAGCCCTCAAGAAATAGGTGCGGTACAACTGCCACGGTACACATCAAAATCACATCCACGCCAACTACTCAGCAGACGCGTACGTTGCCCACCCTCCACGCTTCATACACGTCTCTACAATCCTCTGCTCCCCTTACCCCATATACGAGCATTCATTCAGGATCGTAGCAGACAGTTTGCAGCTCTGCGCCCACACCACATACGACCTCCCATTGTGTGGAGATCCGGATTCCCACCCACCCACCCTCCTTCTACTACCGACCTTGAAACTACCCCAGGGTTAATTGCTCCAATCAGAGAAACAACTAAATGGTGAAGTCAACAGCGAATACACATACAGTACGTCAACACAGCAGAGCTCACGAATACCACGTCGGACGGACAGATGGACGAGATACCCTGCAATTTTTTTATCTGACGACGGACGGACACGATACATCGAGTAGTTCGCTCTCTATCTACCACACCCAGGACCAGAGTGCCTCAAACTCCAGATAGGCGGCGGAAAAAAAAAAAAAAAGGCGAAAAGATGGAACACGAGGAAAAGCAGCGGAGGCAGGCGGCAGCAGCAGTCGATTGGAATAACAAAAAGGAGAATTCTGTTGTCAGAACTCACTGCAACACACAGGACCTCGCTCCGTTACTCAACGTTCCACATGTATCTGGTCTGCAAATGCACCAGATGCTGTTGGACTGATCAAAATTGAATGCATGTAGATGCAGTTGGACTGATCAAACTATTTTGAATGCATGCACCTGGACTGCAAATGGGCCAGATGCAGTTGGACTGATCAAACTATTTTGAATGCATGTACCTGGACTGCAGATGGACCAGATGCAGTTGGGACCAATCAAACTGTTCTGAATGCATGTATCTGGACAGCCAATGGACCACATGTAGTTGGACTGATAAAACTATTTTGAATGTGTGCGAGACCACCACCAGCTCCATATACATAAAAGATGTCGTGCAGCGGAGCGAGCTCGTAGTCAGTCACTCCGTCAGGTACGACTTGGCTTGGCTTGCCAGTAGTCTTGCCCCGTACGTTGTGATCCGCACTTCAGAGCACACACACTCTAACTCCGGACTTTTCGACTGAGCTCTGGATGGCATTGCGGTCAGGTGCATCCACGTCAAGGTGGGTGGGACTTCCGGTCAGATACATCCAGGAAAGCAAGCCCGATTACGAGCATGGCGTCGACCTGGAAACCCAGAGAGCAGTACAACCCACAATAAAGAAACGGAGACGTGAAGAGACAAGAAAATATTAAATACACCTCTCCGCCGATTTACCCAACTCCAAAACACAGACCATTGTTCCATTCACCCCCCACTATATCTCTCACCAAGCCGCTCAACCCGCTCCTGACCGGACTTTTCGAGGGCATACTCGCACTAGAACCCTTTTGCTCTCAGCTGTGGACGCAATTGCTGTCAGATTCATACCGGTCTGGCCGTAATTGCAGTCAGATACATAAGTCCACGCGGAGGCTGCAAACCCTCCAAGCAAACCCACAGCCACCTCACCGCCAAACAATGATGTCCCCACGCGCTACCACCACAATCTCTCTCTCTCTCTCTCTCTCTCTCTCTCTCTCTCTCTCTCTCTCAGAGTTGTGAAGTCCTGTAGGGAACCGGATGACAGTCATGAAGTATGTCTGCACTATGTTTGCTCCGGTTCGGTTCTCCACTGTCTGCACTATGTTTGCTCCAGTTCGGTTCTCCACTAAGTTTGCGTTTGTCGTGCCGACGAGCAAAGCGATGCGTGGCGATTCCGAGCGGACTGCGCAATCATGCAAATTGCAAATCGCACTCCCTTCGTATATGACCGGCAAAGGGATGAACAAAGGGAAGTAGGTAGACTGCCTTTATGCACGATGTTTTGCATGCTGACCGGCAAAGGGATCGAAACGCCATCACCCAAATTGTACTCCTTTCCTATACGACAAAATGAATTGAGCTTGGCGATTTTTCCTAGACCCTCCTAAGAAAAGAAAAAAGAGGGAAAAACAAATGCCCAACAAGGGGAAAATGCAATCCTCCTTCCTCTTTCTGGCCGTGAAACGGACAGCAACATCATACCTTGCTGGACCATAAAGGAGAGTCTGAGGCGACAATATAAAGAGGTGGC